AACAGACACAAGCTCTCTGTGAGGACTTGGTCGCATCCTCTGTTGACTCTTGTTCTTTTTCTCTTGTAAAATGGGAGTCATGATCTGTCCTGTCTTCCTGAAGAGCAAGACAGCAAAGCAAATGGAAACGGGAGTCTATAAAGGTGGAAAGATCTGGTAGATACAAAACAGTGGGCTCGCACACCATCTCAGCTGCTTCTGGCCCAACGCCGTGGGATCCAGAGGGAAGGGAAGGGCAACACGTGAAGACTGAGAGACAAGGGCTATAACAGGCAGAGAAGTGGAAGCAATCATCTAGTAAAAGGTCATCGGACACACTTTCCATCTTCAAAAATTGAGAAACAGAAAAGCAAGAGCGTATGCTATTCCAAACCTTGGTGACTAACTAACTTGGATGGTGTCTGGGCACTGAGAAGCAGGAAGGTGACATCCATCTACATGATCAAAGGTGAACTATGTGACTCTTAGACAGGGAGACCTGGAGCAGCCACAGTCCAGGCTTGATGACATGAAAGAGAACAGGACTTGAGAGGCAGAGAGATACTTTGGAATCTCAGGACCACAATTTACAAGCTGAGACCCCTTGAGAAGTTCATCCTGCATCTCTGAGACCTGGCTGCCACAGCTGTACATGAGTGATGCTAACCTCACTGGGGCAGCTAGGAAGATTTGGTACGGGAGCATCATCAATGAGTATCCAGCACAGAAGAAGGGTTTCCCTTTCTCAGCAACAGGGGTTAAAATAGAGCCAATCAGTCACTCACTAGGTGACTTTGAACCTCAGTTTCCTCATCTGTACAATGGAAGTGTCATAACTGTTTCTGCCCAGTTACCATGAAAAAAAAAAAAAGGACTACCATGATAGTCCACTCAAAGAGGGTTTGTCCCTGTAATCCCTGTACAATACTTTAGCATGCCAGCTGTCAGTTTAGCTCTTTGTACAGATAAACTTTTAGTTGGTTTCCTCTGTGACAGGCTGTCCTGCTACTTCTCAAGGAAGACTCATCAGACATAGAACTGCTGAATTACAGGGCATACATGTTTTTAGTTTAAGGAGGAATTGCTAAATCGCTCTACAAAGTAGCCCAACCAATTTGTATTCTTGCCAGCAGTATGTGATGTCATCCATTTTCCCTCCAACTTCCACACTATTAATTTGACTCATTTCTGAACTTTTGTCAATGTCCTTATTTATTTATTTATTTGAAGATTTATTTCTTTTTATTAAAATGTGTATGTTAGTCTGCTCGTATATATGAAGATGCACCATGTGTACACAGTACCCTCAGAGAGTGTCAGATGCCCTGGAACTAGAGTTAAAGGAAGTTGTGAGGTGCCATGTGGATGCTGAGTATTGAACCTGGGTCCTCCCTCTGGAACTGCTTAGCTAATCCATCTCTTAAGTGCTAATCCATCCCCCCAGCATCAGTGCCCTTTTTTTTTTTTTAAAAAAAAAGTATATCATTTCTCTCTTTAATGATGATGATGATGATAATAATAATTTTATTGCATGTGAGTACATGAGCCATGATATATGTGGAGATCAGATGACAATTCTTTGGAGTTAGTCCTCTCCTATCTTTATGTGGGTTCCAGAGATTGAACTCACTTGTCAGGCTTGCTCAGCAAGACCTTCTGAGCATCTCACCAGTCCGAAGGGTCTATCATTCTTAAGTTACTTTATCCTGATATTAAGGCTGATAATCTTTTTGTTTGCATTGTAAATTTTGATGTTGTGGCTATTTTCTTTTTTTGAGACAGTATTATGGCCTCAAATCTGATATGTAACCAAGGGCAACAGTAAGCTATTGAGCCTCCTATTTCTGTCTCTCAAGGGAAGGTATTATAGGCATGCACCACCACACTAGGCTTGTGTTGGGCTTTTATATTGTTATTATTACACTTTTCTGACCTGTTTAAAGATGTGTTTCTATATTCTGGATATCAGTCCCATCTTCTTTTATATGCAATTGGTCCTGCTTATACACAGTGGTTATGTAGTTGTGTACTAGAACCTTACTAAAAACACTGAGTTAGCAAATACTAAAACAATGCTGCTAAACCAGGCTTGGGGCCAACTTGGGGTTGGAGAAAGGAGGATCAGGAGCTCAAGATCATATGACATATGTTGTTGTTATGGCTGTTGGCTTATCTACATAGTGAGTTCTAGGCTAGCCTAGGCTATATGAAACTCTGTCTTCCAGGGAGAATATAAGATGAGGTTTCTGTCTGCCTTTGGCCACGATAATTTTTTCAAACAATCAATACCTAACTTTGGTTTTATGTGCTATTGATTAAAGATACCTGATTTAATAAATGTTTCTTTAAAAATGTTTATTTTATGTTTATGGGTGTTTTGCCTGCTTGCATGTCTGTGTACCATGTGCATGCCAGGTGTTCTAGGAGACCAGAAGAAGGTATCAAATTCCCTGGCACGATGTTATAGACAGTTGTGAACTGCCATGTAGGTGCTGGGAAATCTAACCCAGGTCCTCTGGAAGAGCAGCCATCTCTCCAGTTCCATGATTTTAAATATATTTTTGGTTTATTAACATCAAATCGTATCCAATGCCCTGTAACCCATGTCTAGACATTTAGTACCCTGTTTTCTTCACAAAGTATAGCTCGGACTTCTGGGGGCATTAAACAGCACTTCAGAACTGTATCCGGAGGCATTTCAACAGGGAGACCATCCCTGAACCACACAAACACAGAGCAAAATGGTTCTAGACAGACACAAAGGAAACATGCTTACAGAGTATAGCTTTGATTGACAATATCTGGGAGCATGTGCCCCTCAGATTTTTGTCACTATACACATTCAGTCTGTAATAACCTCCTAAGTACTTCAAGTATTGACTTTGAGGTTACAAATACATTTTAGCAAGCAGGCAAGTTAAGAATATACAACCTCTCTTAGCAACAGGGAGATCTCTAAGGTCTGCCCTGAGCAGGACAGCAGACAGCGTGGATTTCTTCAACCTTTCCCTAAGCCTCTGAATTAAGTGTTTCAACAACAACAAAAAGAATATACAACCTGAGAATAAGGCAGTCTGTGAGAATAGATGCTTCCACATGTACACATGCATGTGTGAACACACACACACACCACATCATGTGCGCAGGCATGAACACATACACACAAAACCTTTGCAGCCTATCCTTGTTTTTTAACTTCACATATGATGTCTATATCTATGATATGATATATTGTTTGTATTTGATTTAGGCAAAGTTGTCAACTTGTGCCTCTGCTCAGTTTTGCTTCCTATTCCCGACTCCTTAGGCAGCCAGATGAACCTTTCCACTCTCAGATGAACCTTTCCACTCTCAAGTGTCTTCAGGATCCTGAAAGGACTGTTGTTTGTTGCCTTAGTAAATTCAGAAATTAATCTCTTACAAACGATAGCACTCAGCCCTCTCCATCTCCCTGGGAGACTGAGGTATTACCCACCTACCCTTCTACCTGCCTGATGCTCACTGTCTTTGCCTCTGTCGCTTGGGTACCCCTCCTACTTCCCCTATGGCACCTCCAAGAGTGACTTTGCTACTCATTCAGTCCTGACCGAACCCTTCCCTATTTTTATCTGCCCCATCCTGCAATCCCTCCGGTTTTCCTCATCAACACTGATAGAAGCTGATACATATGGTATCAGGCAGTGTTGCACTTACACACTTGCACAAGTATAGTGGGCAGAAGAGTGTGGCTCTGAGAGGAGAGGCATGGGCTGGGTCTCATTTCCCTGAGTGAGCCTCTAGCCCTCTCTCTACCTTGATTCTGTCGCCTGTGAGGTGCAGACAACACCCACCTGGCTGCTGTTCACTCAACTGTACTGAGACCTCTTTGGCCAACACCGGGTTGGATCTTCAACAGTTCCTTGTCAGAGGTTATAAAATGTTCCCTTGGGACTTGGGTAAAGGCAACACTTCTTCTTTGGTCCCCTCTGAGGTTCTCAATGGCCCATGTGAATGAAGGGATGAATACAACAGATTATGAATAATAAAATACTGTTCTCAGCTTCTGATCAAGTGTTGATTTTAGAGAAGCAGCAAGTATGTCTTATTAGCTCTGTTTTGTTTTGGGATAATATGAAAATCAGTTTACACTCCCTGAGGCTAGGATGAAAACACAGTCTTAGAAAATCCATCCATGCATAATCTCTGTGTGAGAGCACTGGTGACTTTAGAGACTCTGATGAGAGCTGAGCATGTGAAGGGCATGAGAAGGGCACATGAAGGGTCGGAAATGTTCAGCTCAGACTTCCTGAGAAGTGTGAGAATACGCAGAATGTTCCAGAATACGAAAAAGGTGAATGTTCTAGATCTCATTTCTTCTCCTTTTTTAAATTTTTTTCTTTCCTTTTTTCTTTCTTTGTTTTTTTTCTTTCTCTTTCGTTTTTCTCCTTTGAGTCAGGATTTCACTATGTAGACCAGGCTGGCTCAATCTCACAGAGATCTGCGTACTTCTGCCCCCACACTCCCAAGAGCTGGGATTCAAAGCATGCTCT